AAGATTTATTTGTTACATTAAATTAATATAATTTCATCTTCTTTTTCTGCATTTGAAAACCTCGATTTGCAACTCCTTTTTGCATTCTTGTTCTTTCTATTTAAAGATGAAGAATAAGGCTAATGGCCTAGGAGGATAATAATGTTTTAATTTTATTCACATTAGGTCCTTAATATTTTTTTTTTCATGTACATATTGCACCAACATAGTTGTTACAACCATTTAAAAAAGATAGTAATATTTTAATTTTGTCCACATTAGGTCTTTAAGGTATTTGTATATATTACACCAATATGGTTGTTATAAACGTAAAGATGGGTAATAAGGTTTTAATCTTGTTCACATTAGGTTCCTATTTTTAATATTTTTATCATTTTATATATAACTCTTTTACAATTTATATTAGTATCTAGTTAGATGGTTTCATCATTTCATTTTCTTATTTTAGTCGCTCATTTACCACAACCATGGTTTCAATTGAAATGTTATATAACAAATTTTTTTCATTTCTACAAATAATAATAATAATAATAATAATAATAATAATAATAACAATAACAACAACAACAATAACAACAACAACAACAACAATAACAACAACAACAACAACAATAATAATAATAATAATAATAATAATAATAATAATCAAAATGTTAATGATTAAGGTTATGTTTGGCGCCCCACAGGTAGCTAATAAGCTAGTTTATTTTTCGATTTTTTTTAAGTTGTCATGTTTGACAAAACAAAAAATAACTTATAAGCTAGTGTTTTTAAAAAGCTACTTAGACTAGTTTTTTATAAGTTTTTTTTTTCAAATATACCCCTTAATTAAGAAAACATATTTAAATGCTCTTTTATGTCATTATATAAATTTCAGATAGTTTATAAGTTGGTGACAGAGCCATAGTCAAAGTAAAATAGTATCTCCAACAAGTAATGCGGTATTGAGGATACCCTATTAGCCGAACCATTACTTATCGGGGATATCCTATTATTTTTTGAGGATACACATTGTAGTGATTGGATGATTAAAATGAGAAGATAAAATGATGAAACCATTTCACTAGATACTAATATTGATTATAAAAACTTAAATGAAATAACAAAAATATTAAAAATATGGACCTAAATCCCTAAAGTAAACAAAATTAAAACATTATTACCATCTTTAAATGGTTATAACAATTATATTGGTGTAATAGGTACAAAAGAGACTTTAAGGACCCAATGTAGACGAAATTAAAACCCTATTATATGTTAATGTAATATAAAAAAAAAAAAAAACTTTTGAACCTAATTGGAAAAAGTTAAAACTTTATTAGCTTCGATCATTATTTTATAATGTTTTTATAGAGATTCAAGATGATGTGTAAATGATAAATGTAGGGGACAAATAATTTTATAATAACTAAATAAGAAACAAACAATAAAAAGGCAATATAGTTTTTTTTTTTTTTTTTTTTTTTTTTTTTTTTTAGGCCTATTAACCAAACGGTATAACAAAAATATATTATTGGAACTATCCAAATTAAAAAAAAAAAAAAAAAAACAATTATGAACCAAACACAGAGGTTAATTAACATGCATTAACATGATGATGATGTCAAGATGCTTTTATAATGTTAAATGATAACTATTTTCATTTAGTAACAATAAAGGATTAAACTACAGAGAAAATAATATCATTTTTTATTTTGTTTCTGATTTTCTTCCTATCTTTTTAAAAATGATAAGGATTTATAAATTTAACATCCTAATCAAATATAAATTAAATTTAATAACAGTTATCACTATTTTAAATATAAATAAAAAAAATAAAAAATAGAAAGTCTTAATAATTCCGTTCTTTCTACCGAACAATCATAAGATTAATTGCCAAAATATTAAAAAAAAAAATCCCTTTTACGTGCGTCACGTTTCCGCCACACGCCACGCAGCGAAGAGTTTAGTGGATATGATTTATTTTTCTAAATGTACCCTCGGCTTTGTTAATTTACTCCCAAGTAACACACAAACAAAAAAAATCCCTATCTTTGTCATAGTTTCCATATTGGCCATTTTGAATATTTATTCCCATTTCCCACATAGTAAGGCTTTAATAATATATACATCTTAGTTATGACCGTACAACGAATGAAAAAGTAGACAGACAATAAATTGCGTCACTAATTTTTTTTTTGTATGGTAAAGTTAATTTTTTTGAAGACTATATTCATAAATATATGGGTATAACATTGTTATATATGATCCGTTGTAATCTATTAAAAGGTTTTATCGTATCCAGCGCAATAAAACCAAACGTACGAAATGAAACCTAAAATATTTTATCTACCCAACTTTGGTTGTCATTAACATTTCATAGAAGTCAACGGGTTGTTACTATGGTCTAAATAAAGAGTTTTTGTTTAACGATAAAAGTTTCACGAATATCATCATATAAGTATTCAAATCGTAGCAATTAAATTATTCTAGATCTGGACATCCAAACTTTCGGCAACTTGAGATTCTTTGAAAACTAAAATACCTGGCCTAATTAAAATGGTAATAAAATATATGAATGAATTCCAAATCTCTTAAATTCTTTGAATAATATGAGGGGAATAGGGGATATTAAGAAATTAAAATTTTAGTTTAGATGTAAACCTCCAAGGAATCTTCGATCTTCCTCATGCCTAGACATGTTAGAATCATGATGGATTTCAAAATAATAATATATATAAAATGTTAGAATCATGATGGATTCAACACTCTATACATAGTAATACATTACTACATTAGGCATAGAGTGTTGATAAAAGTAATAACAATAATAATTGTTTCACTTATATTATTATAAAATAGAAAATACAACCATAAATACAAATACAAATAACAGTAATAATTGTTTCACATATATTCGCTTTTGAGTGAGCCAACACACAAAAAATATATATGGTCATGCTAGAAACAAAACAACCACAAAGTGACGTTTCTACTGAAACCGTCATCATGGATATGATATTCGAATAGATTGCCTACCATGACTCATGTCGGAGGTATTCGGTCTTTAAAATTATAATTTTTGTAGTGATTTTTTTCTATCAATTTCTATTCAATCGTATAAACTTGAACCCATAAAAGACTAGCCACATGTACACCCCTTTGTATTTTCTGTGTGATCTTGACTTGTTTAAGAGTTGCCACTAGCTTACAAGGTGTATCTAACATGTATGTATCGCAGGGGCGGACGCAGGATTTCATAGTAGGGGTTGCACGGGAAAGTTAGGGGGGTTGCACGATAGTAGAAAAAATAAAAATTTTAAAAAATTTCGAAATTTTTTCCACTACGGCCAGAAAAGTTAGGGGTTGCCGGTGCCACCCCGGAACCCCCCTAAATCCGCCCCTGATGTATCGTGTACATACATATACTTATAAAATACTCTTAATGATAAATTAAAAGGAAAAACATGTATTGCACCTTTTAGGTAGTCCATACTGAACCCCTTTTAAACTTTATTTATGAAATTTCGTATCTCAACAACTAGGGTTCCATCGTAAGCTCATTTAATGATAAATAAAAAAAATGTAAACCTCCCATACTAAGCTCTCCCTATTACGTGGTTGGTAAATAGATGGGCATTAATAATAGAAAAAATAGTTATCCACTTATAATATTTTACATTTAACGTGTGTCAGATTTTGAACCTTTAATATATCTCCTTATTGTCATAGAAGAATGTTTATTCTTCTTTTGTTATATGTCACCCTATTAGTTTTCCTAATTAATATCATATCACTTGTCAACCTATTGATTATTTATTTTAGAATTTAAATTTTATATTTTCCACTCTAATTATATTAAATTAATGATATTAGAACAAAAGTTAAAATAAATTAATACACATTATAAGGTCACATATTTATTTAAATCAACGATTATAATTTTATATAACTAAGAAAATATATTTTAATTAATAATTTATTTAAAATAACTGATTAATAATTTGGAATTTTTATTATGAAAACTTAATTAATTTTATAACCATAGTTTCCATATCTTATAAACTAGTGAATTATACAAATGAGCCATTAATCTCTTAGAGAAGCATTCAATGATAAATTACATGTGTACATTTAACTTTTTACATGCCCTTGTGCAAACAATGAGGATGCTTATTAATTCCAATTTGGTTTTGGTTTTGATTTGATATGGATTAAAAACCAAATTCCAATTTGGTTTTGGTTTGATTTGATATGGATTAAAAACCAAATATCATATTCAACTTTTAGATTGAATTTTGAAGTAATATGAACTAAAACCAAAACGTGTGTTCATATATTATATCAATTTTGTTATTATAAAATAACAATGCACATCATCAAAACCTAATTTAAACGAAAACAATATTGTCGACAAACCATATTTAAAGTTCAATTTTATTGATTTGAAACCAAAAAGGGAAACACAAACCCGACTGGGTCTTTGGGTTTGTTTAAGTAGTTAAACCAAACAAACTAAACCAATAAACTAATGAACATCGCTACCAGATTTTCCTAAAAAAGTTTAGGGTTGAGTTGGTATATAATAAAAAAGCAGGGTTAAATTTTAAAAATATCCCATAGATATAACAAGGTTTGGCCATTCACGCTAACAAAATATTCTAAACTATTCACAACCAAACCAGTCTCTTTCTAATTCAGAAAAAGCAAGTCAAACAACTGGTTGGATGCATTCATTTCAACTCACCACTTGAACCTCAAAATCCAATTATGAGTCGATTATTGTTGAAATTGATTGTACTACAAAGCATTTAATCCTAATCCCATTTGTACTACACACCTCTGAAGGTACATTTAATTCGTCTTTAAAGTGTTCCAAAATTCCTTCTCATTCACCCAGTTTCGCAAACTGTACATCATCCAAACTCTGAAAACTCTCTCCATTTCTTACCTTTTGATCTCTAATTTGAATAAGGTAATTTATGACAATTGAGGGGGCGAGAGAGATTGAAGAGAGCGAAATGATGGATCATACGCCACCCGAGGAAAACGACGGCGGCTCAGTTAAGAGGTTGCCGCCGTGGAACAAGCACATCACGATTCGAGGATTGGTGGCTAGCTTATTGATCGGAATCATGTACAGTGTAATCGTGATGAAGCTTAATTTAACCACTGGACTCGTACCTAATTTAAATGTCTCAGCTGCTCTTTTGGCGTTCGTGTTCATCAGAACATGGACGAAGCTCGTTCACAAAGCTGGATTCGTAACGACGCCGTTCACCAGACAAGAGAATACAATCATTCAAACATGTGCTGTTGCTTGCTACAGCATTGCTGTTGGAGGTTCGATTCGATTCAATCCGATCCGATCTAATTAACGATTTTTTTTTTTTTTTTTTGTTAATTGTTGATTAAATCTACGATTTCTGTAGGTGGATTTGGATCGTATTTGTTGGGATTGAACAAGAAGACATACGAACAAGCTGGAATCGACACGGAAGGGAATTCACCTGGGAGTTTTAAAGAACCTGGAATCGGTTGGATGACTGGTTTTTTGTTTGTTAGTAGCTTCGTTGGGCTTTTGGCTTTGGTTCCTCTTAGAAAGGTTTGTACCTTCTGCTTTTTGACTTGTACATATTATAACTTTCAGCTTCAGGTTTGAACTTCGAACTATGAATGTTGTCTTACAGATTATGATCATAGACTATAAGTTAACTTACCCCAGTGGGACAGCTACAGCGGTGCTCATCAATGGCTTCCACACTCCCAAAGGCGACAAAATGGCCAGGTATCCAGTTTCGCTTCCACGTCATCGTCCTGTTGTCAGAACAATGAATTAAAAGAAACTTTTTTTTTATTTCACGGTTTTATTCAGGAAACAAGTTGTGGGGTTCACAAAATTTTTCGGTGGAAGTTTCTTGTGGGCTTTTTTCCAGTGGTTTTATTCGGGTTCGGGCACTTGTGGCTTCACATATTTCCCCACGTTTGGGCTAAAAGCTTATGCGAACTCGTGAGTGTGTATTTTATTTGTGTATATTTTTTTTATAAGTCGTGATCCGAGGCCTTTTTTTAATATAAAAAATATGTTGTTTTTTGTGCAGGTTTTATTTTGATTTTAGTATGACTTATATAGGAGCAGGGATGATATGTTCACATCTAGTGAACTTGTCCTTGCTTGCAGGTGCTGTACTATCCTACGGTATAATGTGGCCGCTCATAGGTGATCGCAAAGGCGATTGGTTTCCTTCTAGTTTACCTCAAAGCAGCATGAAGAGTTTAAATGGCTACAAGGTTAGCTTAAAAAACATATATATAAAATATTTTTCGACTTTTGTGCTCTAATTTCTAATCGTTTATCGTATTCCTAGGTTTTCATTGCGATTGCCCTTATCCTAGGCGACGGTCTATACAATTTTCTCAAGATAACCTTTTTCACTGCCAGAAACATATATACCTCCTCAAAAAAGAAATCCAAAAACAGTAAGTTCTTAAAAGCTACTTCATCAAGAATTAGTTCCATCATGTTGCCCCACGTAACCTCTGCAATCTTGTGTTTGTCACACAACAAGAGAGTACTGAAGAGACGAACAGGACTGGACAAACTTTTTAAGGCTGTTCCCACACCTTGTTTCATTTCCGTCATTCTCAGTCCAATGCATGTACACGTCTGTCATGTCATGTACACGTCATTTGCGTCATTCCCAGTCCAATGCATGTACATGTCTGTCATGTCACGTACACTGTTTTTTAATAACATTATGGTCTACATTAAATACAGATTCGGACGAAAATAGCCAACGCCAAGATACCCTCCATCAAAACGAGGTATTTTTGCGAGAAACCATTCCCTTCTGGGTAGCAGGGGTTGGTTACATCCTCTTCTCTATTGTCTCCATCATCATCATCCCAATCATGTTCCCCCAGCTCAAATGGTACTTCGTTCTGGTCGCTTACATCATCGCACCATCCCTAGGCTTCTGCAACGCATACGGAGCGGGCCTAACCGACATGAACATGGCATACAATTATGGAAAAGTTGCCCTTTTTGTCCTCGCAGCAATGTCTGGAAAAAACAACGGTGTAATCGCAGGACTTGTCGGATGCGGTTTAATAAAATCAATCGTATCGATTTCGTCTGATTTAATGCATGATTTCAAAACCGCACATTTAACCCTAACTTCACCTCGGTCAATGCTGGTCAGCCAAGCAATCGGGACTGCAATTGGATGCGTAGTGGCTCCGTTAACGTTTTTCCTTTTTTATAAAGCGTTTGATGTCGGGAACCCGGATGGTGAATATAAAGCTCCTTATGCTATTATTTACCGAAACATGGCGATTTTAGGTGTCGAAGGGTTCTCTGCATTGCCACGTCATTGTTTACAGTTGTGTTACGGGTTTTTCGCGTTTGCCATGCTGGCAGATATTGTACGTGACACGTGGCAGAAGATCGGGAAGTGGGTCCCGTTACCGATGGCTATGGCTGTTCCGTTTCTTGTTGGGGCTTATTTTGCTATTGATATGTGTGTTGGGAGTTTGGTTGTGTTTGTGTGGAGGAAGTTTAAGAAGGAAAAGGCGGATTTGATGGTTCCTGCTGTGGCTTCGGGTTTGATTTGTGGTGATGGGTTGTGGATTCTTCCTTCATCGGTTCTTGCTTTGGCTGGGGTTAGACCTCCGATTTGTATGAACTTTTTGCCTACATAGAATTCAGGAGTTTGGTTATTTAAAGAAAGTAGTTTAGAAATTGTAATAAATAGAAATTTTTGTTGCTCAAATAGTAATATTTAGATGTTGTAATAGAGAAAGCATGTCAATCAAGGTTATAACATATAGAAATTTCACTTTCTTTATTAAGTCGTTTTTGCAGTATGTCAAAATGAAACAATTGTATATAACATACCGGATTAAGTCCTGTCCCATTAATTCTGTTAAATAAAAAAGAAAGAATATCTAAAAATAACAAGTTGAAACTGTTACGGGTCACAATCATTGAAGGGGACATGAAAAGATGACGCACTATTTAATGAGTCTAGTCTTGATAAGCATCAAGCACAAGATGCTCTTATCTTTTGTCCAATAATTTCCATATACATCACCTTCTGTTGCAATCGTACATAATAACATGGAAAATTTAGCACCTTTTCTAGCAGCAAACAATATCGGAAGCATATATGCAATAATGCTAACAAAATAAAACGAAATAAGATAATAATATAGCATTTTCGATTGCATAAGCAATTATAATAAACTTGAAAGTGAGCATACTTTTGGCATAACCTTCATCACTGTTAGCTTGAAATCAAAGCAGAATATCCAAAAAGACATGATGTTTAACAGTTGAAGTCCATCTTATTTGAATTCAGCAAGATATGAAAAGAGAAAGGACTTAACTAATCATATTACGTAAGAATCTATATTAGGTACCAAATGATGTGACAACTCTACATCATTCAAGAAGGATGGTGTTACGAAATAAAATTGTTTGTTTCCTTTGGCAAAACAAAGTTTAACTGATTAATTACAACGATTGATCATCAAAATTCAAAAGGCAACAACACAGAGACGTATGAATGAAAGAGAAACAGAAATAAGAAAAAGGGGGACCCGGTTGGAAAGAAAAGATATGTACCTTCAAGTTGCAGAAAAAAGCTCCAAATCCCATTAGATTCCTGGACCATAGCTTGATCTTGTAATATGACATTATTATCAAGCACATCATTGAATTAAAACAGCAAATGGATGAAACAAGATAGCTTAGAAGTCTTACCAACAAAACCAGATGAAACAGAAATATAGGGAAGAAGCTAAGAAGTTTGAATCTATCATCAGCATCTTCTTAAAAGAGGCCAGAAACACTGAACCTAATTCATTAGCATGAAGTATGATCTAACTTTAAGCAGGTATCCAAATAGGTTAGCTGGAGATAGCAAAAGCAACTTGAAGAATTTTCACTAAATTGATGACTGAATATCAGTTGAAAGTACCACTTCCATCAGATCAAAAGTATGCAACTGACAATTTGTCATAAAACAAAACAAAACTTTTATTTTCATCTAGAGGAATTAGGTTACAAAATCGATAGATTACAGAACTGAGAAAGAAGAAGATTTCAGTTTTCAATCAAGAAAACCTGTCTTTTGAAACACCGCGTTGCGAACACGACACAGGTCCCTCCCTTTGAGAGTACGACCAGCTCCCTCAAACACAGAAAACGTCACATACGATCTCGCGACAATCTCATGAGGCGGAACCATCTCCCCGTCATCTTCCTCCTCCTCCGCCGCGTTATCAGCCACTTCATCGAATTGCCCTAAATAATTAATCGGTTTGTTTTTCGGCCAAACCGGCACATTCACCGGCGCAGACTGGTGGTAAGCGGGAGAATGCTCCGAAGAACGCCTAAGCGCAACCGGAGGTATAGTCCGAGCAGCCGTGGCGGCGGATTGGGACGGACTCATCGCAGGTTTCCGTCGAACCAAGGGATGCTGATCGTCGGATAACGCAGCGTAGAGGCCGGAGTTGTATTGACGGTGAATAGGCGGAGAACTGGAAACGTTTGGTGACTGAATGTCTGAAACGTCGGAGGATGATGACCAAAATACATCGCTCTCGTTGAACTCGAGACCACCGTTGTTGTTGTTGTTGAGATCTGGCGATTTTTCCGGTACTGTGAGTTGACCAAGAAATCGTATGGTGGGAGAAGAAGATACTGATGACGTTGGTGAGTAGGACACAGCGGAGATGCTGCCGGCGGCGGTGGATTTAGCCATGAAGGAGGCTTGTCAGTGGTCACAAAATTGGGTTGACCAACAGACTCCTCCCCCCTGTGGTGATTTTGGTGAAGAAACCACAGGGGTTCGTTAAAATGTAAACGGAAATTTTGGAAAAATAAAAATAAAAAATAAATAAATAAAAAATCAGAGGAAAAGGTTAAAATGGTAAATTCGCAATGTATGGAGCAGAAAGAGAGTGTGTTCACCGGCCTTTTAATATCTGCCGCGTGTAGTTGTTCTTTCACATTGTGTGGATGATGTTTTTTCGCAATTTAATAATGTAATCACTGAAAGTCTGAAACATATATTAAAATTTATTTGATAAATCTTAAAAATATAATTTTTTTTTCGAGATGTAAGATGATGGAGCACGTCGGTATAATTAAATAATAGATATTTTATTAACTACCATAAATTTAAAATATTATTAATATTAATAATAAATTAATCAACAAAAGTTTTACTGGATTGCATCGAGAGCTACCATTATCATATAATAATCACTAATTAAAAATGATAATATGTAGGTTTATTGTTTAAAATAATAATATTCGTCTTCTAGACAAGAAGAACGAAGCGTCAAGGTATAATTTAGTAATGAATATTTTGTTATTAGTATAAATGTAAAAGGAATTTTAATAATAAATAAGAGAAATTTTCGGAAAAATCCTAATATTTTACCCGAATTTACAAAAAAATCTCAAACTAAAATTGGTTTATGAAAAAGTCTCGATTACCGGAAAAAATGATGACTTGACCCCCTTTTTTTTTTTCTTTTTTTTTTCAATTTATCGGTTTTAATACTTACCCGGTTTAATTAAAGTTCAATTATTTTACCATAATTTTCATTAAAGTCCCATTATTTTACCATAAATTATGATTTATTCGTAAATTATAGTAAAATAATGGAACTTTATTAAAACCGGGTAAGTAATGAAATAGGTAAAATAAAGCCAAATTATCATTTTTACCGGTAATTGAGATTGTTTCGTAAACAAATTTAAATTTGAGATTTTTTCGTAAATTAGATTAAAATATTGGGACTTTTTCGAAGATTTCCCAATAAATAATAAAAGGAAATACTTTATTGGAATGCGTCAAATTACTAATGTAATATAAGTGCCTATTTGATTAACATGAATGTTTAAAGTTTAAACTATCAACTAATTAGATGGTTTTGGGTTCAATCCCATAGAAAGAGCAAAATATATATAATTATTTGCTGTTTCAACCAAAAAAAGCTAATGTGATATAATAACCACTAATAAGGAACACAACATTTATAGTAAAAGATTAACGAAAAAGGATATAGAATTTAATAGTTTTTGTAAAACAATCAACTTTAAGATGTTTTAAGTGCTGTTTACTCTCTAAATAATACACCGGCAATAGTTCGGTTGTTGTTAGCAAAGGAGGCGACATGTATTGATGTAACTACTACATGTTCAATGTTGGTTTCCATTAAAATTACAATTCTGCACTAGTTATAACAAATCACCTGATACAAATGTGGAATAGGAAACATAAACTTGTATAATCGATATCTTTGTTGATATTGTTGTTTAGTTTCAATATTATTTTGGTGATTTTAATGGTATCAACACATTTAGTGAAGTAATGATTTCAATCAAGACAAGCCGTTTCGTTTAACTATATTATTAAAACAGAATTTATCTTGTTATCTTATCTTCAAGATTTTCTATTTGTTCTTGTTTATTAATATTTAAACTTACAAAACTCATGATTAAAACTTTATAAAAACAAAAGGATTATTTTCTTCAAAGTTACGTTTAAAATTTTTAGAAATAAATATAGTGGGTTAATGATATTAAATTTGTAATACGGAGAATTGAAAAACTTTTATGAAATATGAAATGAATTTAACTTCTTGGTACATACTCATAATTGCATTAAACCTTCTTACGACAATTGTTTCAATTCTTGGTGAATTGAGTAATAATGATGACTTTTGCATACGAGTTTTTATGAACATATATTTAAAAGATGAAATTCATTATCATGTTTATGATGTTGCATATACATATATTCATATGAACGAAAGATTGAATATGTAAAATAATAATAAGAACGTTACTTAGCTCTGATACCAACATTAAAGACATGACGGAATTAATAAAGATTAAGAGAAGATTATACTTGAATGATGCGTTGGATTATATTGATGATGGATTATGTTAAATAATTGGATGATTATGTAGATACTTTGGATAGAACTCTGTTATTCAGAAATAGACAAACTATTTCAACAGGGGAAGAACTATGAGATTCAACTCAAGTCTTAAACACTCAAATAACTCTTGTTTATTTCTTATGGGCAAATGCCCCATTTATAGGCTCCAAAGAGCCGGTTACAATTATTGTTGCAATCGTATGATTGTAATACGACAAACATATATTTACATTTTACACCCCTAGACTATGAAGGGTCTTACACTTTATGTTACATCCTACCGACACTATTGTATATCATATTCTACCGATAAATACAAACAATAATTATACAACGACAAATACAAATAATTCTACCGACAGAATATTTACATTAATAATATAATCCCTTCCACATTGAAAGGACAAGTGGATTCAATAATAATTGATTTTTACGTTATTGTTTGCGTTATTCCGTGTGTGTGTGTGAGGGGGGGGGGGTGATGTAACGTCCGCGTTTCCAGGCTATGCATTATCATTAATATAACAGTCTAGGTTAACCCTTGTAACTCTTTTTGAAGTATTAATGATGAAATATTTGAGTATTATGTGAATTATTTATTTATTTTCTTAATTATTATAATTTAATGAATTAAGAATAAAATAAGCGTCAAAATTAAAGTATGAGATAAGCTTGATATCTTTGCATAAAGATGTAGTGGTCGAAACAAGGATTCCGAAGATATAAAGAATGCCGAAATCCGAGTTATAACGAAGAAGTTATAATATGTCGAAGTTTCGCGACAGAACCAGCAACGTTGAATGACGTAAAAAGTGAAATTTACGTTAGGGTGATATTTATGTTGGATTAGTGTCTAAGTCCATAACTATTTTGGTATGTACTTAACCCGATGGTGCATGATCCTTTTGGGTTGCCTTCACAAAAGCAACTTGATAGGATGAATTATGGAGAGAAATGATTAAATATGATTAAAGGAGAAATCATATTGTTTAATTAATATTAGTCAAGAATTAATAAGAATTATGTTTGTGGCTAAAAGAGATTAATTAAACTTAAGGGACTGGAATTGTAATTATAAGATATTGCAATTGGGCTATGGATTACCTTATTATATAAGGTTGGACGAATTTTACGGGGAAACCTATTAGAAATCGTCCAAGGCCTTTAAGAAAGGAATCCATGGGCTGCTTAGGGCTTAAGCAGTCAGATTAGGGTTTCCTAGTTTAAAACCCTAATAGCCTACATGTATAAATAGCACCCTTAAGCCCCAAAAACGGTATGATGAGATCCTCTAGGGTTTTGGACGATTTTGGGCAACCTCCTTCTCTTCTCCTCTTCATTCTCTTGCTCTTGGTGTTTGTGGACCATTAGAGGAGTGACATTTGTGACTCTAAGCTTTCTAAAGTCAATACAAGAAGGATTTGAGATTGTTATTGCTACATAACAATCAAGGTAATATCTTAAACTCATTCTTATGTTAATATTGATTATCATATGCTAGAATTAGGGTCTATAGTCTTGGATGAATTACATGTACAATAGAGAAACCTAGATCCAAGCACTAGGGTTTGTATGAGCACATAAGATGTTCTTGTGACTAAAACCCATCAATTTAGCCTTAGTGATCTAAACGAAAGTCATAGAGTACGTTAAACCGAGAGCGTGCATAAAAAGAACGCCCAAATCTGACTTCGTATGAAGAAGTTATGATTTTTCTAAGTTTCGACTTAGTAGTATGCAGCCCGAATACTCGATTTAAGACCGAGCAGTTTTTAGCCGAAACAATCTAAACGAGAATCGAATATCTCATTAATAGTAGTTAAACGATAAAAAGATAAGCGAAAACGGACGTCGGATGAAGAAGTTATGAATTTATAACGGAGTTTTCCTGTCCCGGCCTACTAAAAATAAATAATAAAAATAAAAGTCAAAATTATCAGACAGAGTTTAAACGAAAGTTGTAGAGCTTAGTGTCACCTACGCGTGGATATAAAGAACGTCGAAAACGGAGTTCGTATGAAGAAGGTATGAATTTCCAAAGTTTTTAAATGATTAATATTTATTAATTAATCTTTAATTCGGATGTATATCTGAAGGAGTCATCGACCCAATCCGAACTACGCCCAGCGTAGTTGAGTACGCCCAACATACCCAGATGCATGCACCGCCTCTGACTCGAGTGCTCTGATGACGCATGCAGTGATGTTTTTGGTCACGTACGCCCCGCGTAACTGAGTACGCCCAACGTACGTGCGAGGCTCAGCCTCTATAAAAGGCATGCGAGGGCAGCCGGCTTCTTTTGCCAAATTCTCTTCTCTTTCCCCCGTTTTGCATCGTTTTACGTGCTAGAAATATCCCGAAGCCTCAGTATTAATCCCGAGCCCCGAAGCAAGTCCCGAAGCCCCGAAGATCCCGAGAAGTGCAATTCCCGAGCCGAAGCTCTGCCCGCGAGGAGTCCGGTTTTTGTGAAGATCTTCCAGATCTACCGAAGAATACTACTTCTACAAGCCGTAGTGATGTCCAATCATATTCTGATCAAGTGAGTGTGTAGTTACTTTCTTCTAACGCATAATTATGAAGTATTTTATACGAAATACGTGTTATGTGTATATTTTGTTGTTATATGTGTGAATGTATATTCACTTTCTTCTATCTCATAGATATGATTTATTCTCTATGAAATACGTGTTATGTGTATGTTTCTCATCTGTTGTTTGGAATATGTATTAAATGAGAATGCTATACAGGTTTTAAACTATGTATAAAAATATATATTTTTATCTACTAATATGTCGATTAGAACATG